GATCTCGATAACTGCGCGACACACCAGTTTACGGATTTTAAAAATCAATCTAGATGCGCATTTTAGAGTGCGCGTACCTGTCCAAGGCTCATCGATGAAAGAGGTAGGTTTTTTGCACTTTACAGCCACTTTAGGAGTCGAATAAAAGCCCGGCAATTGACGCCTTCAGCGGCTAGGTTTCGACAACCATAGGTCTTTCAGAAATAATTGCTAAAAAGGAATTTTGGAATCAATAGTAGCTGTCGAGACCTAGTGCGGCCAACAGGTGTAGATTCCAGCGCTTCCGTCTCCTCCAAAGCAGCGGAAATAGATGGATCGCAAAAGACTAAATCGACGGTTTTGGTTAGCTAGGTTTCGCTAGCTACGAAAAACATCAAAATACGCGTGAGAAATGGTTTGTACAGTTTTCGGAGCGGCACGTAGCTGTCCACACCTAGACTGAGGATGAAAGGGTAGATTTTTCTGACCTCATTGCTTCTTTAACGGGCCGAGAGAGTACGATCATCGACCCTCTCTATCGACTAGGTTTCAACAGTTACGCGGGAAGCCTAAATACGTCCTAAAAAATACGTCAGCCCGTTTTTTTGGGAGTCGCGGACTTCGAGACCTAGCAGGCAAGACTAGCCGATTTTTGCACTTAATGCCCCCTTGAAAAACGTCTTGCTGACGCTCCTCACCTCGTGGTACCCGCTGAGGCGCCGTCGGCGAGCAGTGCTGCTAGGCGATGTGGTGATGATGATGGGCCGAATTTTTCCGCGTACACTTCCGGCCTCTTCCGCTCCTCGTTTACCACACACCTCCTGCCGGCTGCCCTTCTTGCTCCTGTGGGCCTCCTGGCAGCCGCCGCACTGTGCCCTGCGCCAACTTCGCCGCTTCTCGTGGCAACAGAAGCCGCGATCACAGAATCCCGACGCACACGACGCAGACAGTAAAGACCAAAAACGAGCCGATCAGCGCGGCGAGCAGGAGATTCTGGTAGAGAATCGAGTCCATACGAGGATGGACTAATGGGGACGACTTCCAAGGAGTTCAGGAAATTCCCAGAAATCGTCGAAATCGTTTTCTTCCAGCTGTATTTGGAGTCAGACGTCTTCAAGCAGTTCAGGTTGACAGAGAGACGCTTTTTGATGGCTTGAAAGTATAATGTAACGCAATTAAGGCCCTGGACTCGACGTAAAGTGTAGTGCAGGCGGAATTCGAGATGTGAGAAGCTCTAAAAGGGGAATAATTAGTGTAGAAAAGTAAAGTAAAAATTAGAAAAATTCAAGAGAAAGAAAAAGAGAAAAAGGCTAAAAAGGATTAAAAATTCCAGAAAGCAAAGATTCAAAACTTCACTAAATCGGGCCCACCGTAACTATCATATGTTCTCAAATTTAAACCAAGTAAATGCAGAATTAACTACAAACCTGGCACCGAAAATTCTAAAAATTACCTACCTACTACCTTAATCGGGTCGAAATAGTCGAAACATCCAATTTTCCGGCAGAAATTTATCGTTAGAAAAAGCCTAAAAATTCTCAAAATACGGTAATTTCGCCTTGCTACCCTAATTCTGCCAAGGTTCATCCCAAAAATTCAAAATTCTGACGTGAAAAAGGTAACAAGGTGAAAGGGAACAAGGTAAAAAAGTAAACGGCAAATGAAAATGCCTTACGGTATAAATTCCGCTTAATTACACGTGACGCCCGAAACCGGATGTTTATCCACCGGTGAAAAGCTTGAAGGTCAGGAAAGGGCTGGAAACACCGGGGTGTGACGGAGGGGTGATGATAATGGCCCTGATAGCACACCTGGTTGGTTGGGACGGGGGCACAAGTTCACGGTGGGCAATCCATCACAACCCCGCGGCTTGTTGGGAGAGGCCCACCAAGCTGCTCTCAACCTCCTCGAGGCCACCGGATGGATTGTGGTTAGGAGCTGGAAGAGAACAGGAAGGAAGCGGAAATGGACCGGCTGAGCCGGGTGGGATCGATTTTGAGGACGTACTGGCTGAGGTCGGCGTCATGCCAACAGTACCGGGCGTAGCTAAGAGTATGGCGACTTAAGGTTCCCGCTTAGTAATTTATCCGGTTACGCCTATGAACGCTAGCGTTCTTTTAACTGACCTTAGAAGGGGCGCGTAGCGGAACGATAAACTAATTCCGTAAAAGATGCATAAGATGTGACTGTTGACTAACACGCTAAACTAATAGCTCCCATTAATGCGTGTTTTCTTGAAAAGGTAGAAACAAAAAAAATATCTGACCATTAATGCTCGCATTTTTGTGTAAAAAATACACTAGTGTACGGGGCTGCAAAATCATGTAGCTGACAGCAAAAACTCAAACTTGGGATACTTCAGAAAAATACAAAAAATTGAGTTCGGATAGAAACGCATGCTCTTGCTTTTAAAGGGACCGAGAAGTGCTATAATCAACCCCTTCCTGCGGCTAGGCCTCGAAAGCTACGCAATGCCCCAAGTGACGAGTACAAGCGCTTGAAATTTACCACAGCTTGAGGGCCGTAGGTCATTATCGTAATGAGAACTGTACGTGTTTTGGCGGTCTGCGTAACTGTCTAGACCTAGTCGAGGGGAGGATAGCTTCTGATCAATCCAAAATTTTTTTAGAGGATTTCCGAAGCTACATACGGGACTAAAGGGCGAGTAAGACAGATGTCGAAGAGGCTGACATTTCCGGAAATTGACAAGAAGACCAATAATTAACGGTGTATGTACCGAGGTGCAACAACGTACTAAATACCATACACAAAATTTGGTAAGTATTTATCTTAAGATTTAAGCAGCTGGCACAAATACGGCTATGAAAGGAGGTGTAAAGGAGCGTTTAACGTACCAGGCGTTGCCTCTCATTAATGCCTGACTCAAGTTTTAGGGCTTGAATAGAATGAGAAGATGCTAGAAAAACTAGATTAAAACTAATAATCTTTATAGATAATTCAAAAGGTTCAAATGTCTATAGATGTGATCTCTAAAACGCTAATGCTTCAGTTTGGCAACTTTTATAAGCCCCTTCATTCCCAAAAAATTCGGCCGAACCCCTTGAAGCCGACCACAGATTGAAGCACTAGATTAGAGAGGTAGAAGAGCAAAATTTGGATTCCAAAGGAGCAAGAGAGTGATCAAAGACGCGCTGCTCTCGCAGCCAAATCCCAAGCCCATCAAATAAAATAATAAGACTGAAAAACCCGAAAAGGCAGACCACTAGAGACGCAGCTTTTCGACTTCCAAGAGGCAGGGCTCCTCACTTCCCCACGCCAGGATTACTTCAGGAACGCTTCAGGATAGGGCTTTTTCTTGAAAGACGAGAACCCCATTAGGGGCGTCTCAAACTAGGGAGGATCGGTGAGGGGGAAAACCCCCATTTTTTGAAGTCGCCGAACTTTTGAGGGGGTGACGGAAGGAGGAGGCATGTTCGAGGATAGAATTTCGCGTCTGGAATTCAAGGCGGAACCGTTAAAATAGCAACTTTGCCTCGAACTCAACTGTAGGGGAGCATGTGATTGCAAGGGCAAGATTTCACTAATATTAAAAAATTTATATCATATTCTTGGCAGTTTAGATCTTTTAAACGAACCGAGAAGCCAACTATTGGCTCTTGGGCAGTCGGACGGACAATTCAAAAGATTTCTAACGGTACTCCATGAACCGGAACTTCCAAAAATTCAATAAAAACAGTTTAGAGCAGCCAAAAAAATCCAAATTTTTGGCACAGAAAAACATAGTTTCGAAAATTTGGAAACTTAAAGGGACGGGGAGGTTAAAGGGACCTTTTGCTCGCCTAAAAGCGGAATTTTCCGAACGAACTATGAAGAGCAAGAGCTTCAGATAAAGTTTTCGCATCCAGGGTCGTGGGCAAGACGAAAAATAAAGAAGGCCTCCTAATCAGAAAATGGAAGGTTTTTTGCAAAAAGTAATAACGAATTCAAAACCAGCTTAAAAAACTGGCCTATACGAATTACATTAAAAACGTCAGTTTTCCAATGTAAGGCTTCGTAAAGGCGTTTTACGCCAGAAGCTCAGATTCCTGAATCTGCGTTGGGGAAACGCCGACCTCTGCAGATTTTAAGTCCTTGCATTAATTGTTTACCCAAAGGGTGCTTCCGAGTGTTAAAGTCTATTAGCAATAAAAGGAAATCCAGGATCTAGCAAGTACAACTACTCAAAAATGCCCAAAACCACGTGTGGCCCACCCCGTTTACCTGGCCACAAATAGGGCCCGGGGCCCAGGGGAGGGGTCGTGGAATTGGGCCCCTTGCGGGCTGCTGGAAGGAGATGAGACAGTTGCTGAGGAGTTTTGCTCTCTCTCTCTCTCTCTCTCTCTCTCTCTCTACTCTCTCATCTCTCTTCCTTTTATCCGGGGCACCGGGCCGATAGGTATACGACATGGCCGGAAAACAGGAACCCCCAAGGGGATCACAGGGCATTTGCTTTGTGGGAATAGAGAGAGACAGAGAGAGAGAGAGAGAGAGCGAGAGAGGGAGAGAGGGAGAGAGAAGGATCAACATAAAAACACAGCCCAAACGAAAACGAACAACCCTTGGGTCCCAGAGCGGCTCAAATCACGGACTCTGTTGATGTTCGCGATCGCAGGAATCGAAAAATAAGCCTTTTCCTGGCAACACAATTATAGATTGTAGCTTGCCGTCTATATCTTGTAGCCCAAAAAAATCGTATTTCGTCTTACAAAACGGAATTTCGGTATAAAGTACATATTTTTAGACGAAAAAAACTAGCAAAAACCACAGAATGTGTAAAACAGACGTTCCTCGGCCTTAAAATCAGATCTCGTAGCTTGTAGTTTATAGTTTGAACCATCATAATCGGATGTAGAAATGTATAAAATGCAATTTTAAGGAAAGCAAAATACGGGTTTTGAGGACAAATCACAAAACTTGCAGGCCACACTACACAGCACAACATAATTACATGATTCCGGTCAGTAATATACCAAAAACTAGACCAAAATATAGTTTAGCCATTTTTTTAAGTAGTTACCAACCTGCAGCAGCTTCCGAAAAGACCCGTCCTCCATCAACTGCCCCTGGACGAGCTGCGGGAGCACGGGCGAGTCGGTTAGGACGGCGATCCGGTCGAGCGATTCCAGGATCTGGAAATGATGGATTAGCGCGAAAGTATACGTATTATTATAACTTTAATTCTTAACCCGCTCCTAGGCTATAAAAACTTGACTTTACGGAACCAAAAATTCATCAATTATGAAGGTCTAGACATCACTACGCGCCTATACTCCGTAACGGAATCCGGGTGGGAATTTTGGAATTGCTTGAAATACGATCTAGTGTTGATAAAAATGGTCTGGATCTTACAGTAGACTTTAAGAAGATTAGAAATTAATTTAACTCATCATCTCCCATTTTAATAAATGTATAATTATTTAGCAAACTAAAACAGAAAATGCGCAAGTTAAGGTTTTCAGAAGGGCTACATTACGCTCAAGGACTTTAAAAATTGTTTGATGTATTCAATAAGAAATACAACATTATATAATTACTGCAGTCTCCGAACCGCTCCAGAAATCCCAAAAAAGCTCCTTAAAACGATAAACAAACAAAGTTAGTGCTCCTAAACGACCAATTTTTACAAAGCTACCCACCGCCGGATGAAACGGCATAACTCTATCGCCCATTTTTAGGAAAACGAGCTCAAAAATTTGAGCAAGAGCTCAGGAATCGAGATTTAGTAATAATGACGCATCTCAGCTTCCGGTCTAGCCAATTTTGGGCATAATCCAGGCGTAGGTCATTTGCCTTAATGACCGGATGGAAGCGTAGAAAAGGGCGTTCCAGGATAGCGTCCTAGGCTAAGGCCTAATAAGCGGAATCTGAATCTAAGCGTTTCCTGGCGGAGCAGAAGCATAGGGTCTCCTGGCGTTGCCGTGAAACGCGATCCGATCGCCCTATATTGTGCCCCCCTCCAGAGTTTGGCTTCTTGCAAAGGGCATTGCTGAGCTTTGATGTCCCCTGGGGGTGCCTCGACACAACCTGAGAACATTGTCATTAGGAGTCTAACGGAGCGGGTCAAATCTTAAAGAGAGTGTGACAGTTCAAGGATTTTTGGCGACGGGATGCTAGGCATAACGACCTACTGACGTAAAAAACCTATGCCATTAGGCGTCTAACGTAGTGGAACAGGTTTTTGACGGGAGCGTGACCGATGAAATTTTTGGATGTCAGGATTCAGGTTACGACTAGAAATAAGCTTAGGAAATTTTGTTAGAAGCTGCTTTAAAGGGAGTATAACAGTGGAAGAGCTACGAGAAATTCCTACTGACGTAGTAAGGAGGTTTCAAAGGAAATTTGACAGTAGGCAACCGATTGAAAGACGCAGAAGGACTGTGCTAGCAAAATGACGTCAAAATGATGTAATTTTCCGGGGTTTGAAAATTTTGTTTGGCTCAAGGTAACGTAGCAAATGGATGACTACGAACGATTCCTATTGACGCTCAGATTCAATGGCAATTGGCCGCAACTTAACCTCGCTTGAGCGAGATTAACGCAAATAAAAATCGTTACGGAGGTTTACTTTAAACGGAGAGTGACAGCTAATTTCCCAGAGCATTCCTTTTCAAGAACAAAAACACGTTTTAAAGGGCGTGTGACATCTCAAATAAACCTAAAAAATCCAATTAGCGAAATGCACACATTAATAGAGTCCTAATCAGCCAGGGCGTAAACTCAGCATAGATTTAAGATACCCTTATTTACCTTCGGAACCGGCAACAACTCTCTGCCATAACTCGAAATGCTCGTGGCGTGGCATTGGCCCATCGGGGCATCTTTTAGAATGCCGCGATTTCTGGGCCCAGATATATAGCTTTTTCGGGCCCAGGAATTTTGAGTGTCTAGGTGCAAAGCAGCGGATCGCAAGGGATCGGTGACAGGTCCTCAAAACAGCAGAAATAGGTTCGGGTTTTGCAGCCAGGACACGGCGAGATATAGAAAGAAATAGAATACGAAGAAAGGGGGAATATGAGGAGGGATGGGTGTCTTGGAAAAAGGGCGAGAAGAGGGAGATGAACAAGAAAAAGAAGCCGAAGCGGTCACTTCACTCCCCCCTTGGGTGCCCACTTGATGACACGTGCAAATATATGACTCGGCGAGGGGGGCTGTACGCAGCGCGCGCAAGCGAGACAACGGGATGAGTTGAAAGGCGGCTTTGAGGTGTTTGGGATTTTGCTGCCGGCTTTTTAGACACTTGTCAAGATTAAGAATCCTTTGATGGTATCCCAACCACCATGCCTTAACCTTAGATGTCCTGAAATTGCCGAAGCCGACCGCCGAAATCACCTAGGTTTCGACAGATGACCGATAACCTTTAGCTATGCTTTAACGGTCCCAAAAACTGGCGAAAATTAACGTGGTGATCTACTAGGTGCTGACAGACACGATAAGCTTTAGAACTCAAAAACCGTCGAAAACAACCCCGAAATCGTATAGGTCAGACTCAGAAAATCGGCTCTAGCCCGTGACTTGGTCTTACCGCTACGCTAGGCACCAAATGGCGATAGCGAAATACAGCTTATTAAAAAATTTTCGTTTGATTTCGTTTTTGGCGCATTGCGTAGCTGTCGACATCTAGTTGAAAACATGGGTCGATTTAGAGTTTCAGGTCTCTTAGCACCTATCGCACGTTATATTGCAGCAAAATTTTAGTTTCCACGTGCAGTCATTCAGAGCACATAGAAGGATAGGAGGTTACGCAAAGATTTCCGAATTCTAGAGGAGAGATGAGGAAGCTAATAATGAAGAAATTAAGAACAGCTTCGGGAACTTCAAAAAGTTACTGGGCTGCTCTTAAGGCATTTAGCTGTTATGATAACCTAAAAAGTTGCAAGGTTTGAAAGACCATCGTTAATTTGGATGCGTTAATTTCTATTCATTACATAATACCTTCTATTTTTAAGCCCTTTCCTAGACCGAAGCCATTTTTCTGCTCTCCTTCATTCTCACTCCTCAAAAACATACGCCGACCCAGAAGGCCTATCCTTGTTAGTTAGTCTATAAGTTGACGTGTGCTTGTGAGCGTTGAAAAGCTTGGCCGATGTCACATTTCCAAGAGAGCTCAATTCATTAATCAGGGCTGCGACAGCTCGACCCCCGGCTGTTCACCTTGACGCTCATAGCTAGGGAGGGGACAACCGGAAAACTGAGGTTTTCCGGAAATCGGGTACAAAGAATGGTCTCAATAAATAAAAAAAAGAGGGACCATTTAAAAGTTTACAAAAAAATTGTAAAGCTTAACTTGCTACTTTGCAAATTAATTTTAAAGCCTGATTTGTTAAACAGCAAATAGTGCTCATCAAAGGGATCGGGAAGCGTAGATCGACAAGTACGTAACACACCAGCTGAAACTTAGAAAAAGGTAGATTTTCGCGCTTCCCAGGCCGTTTAAAAAAATGAGGAAAAGCTAGAGTCGCCCCTTGCCCCCTAGCATAGGCATCGACAGCTACGAAACACTCTAGAATACGCCAGAAAAATAAACTGTTATGCGGCTTTTGGGCCAAGCAACCAATTTCGAGACCCAGTCACCAGAAAGGGCGGATTTGGCAACTTTTCAGGTCCTTTAAACCCCAAAGCCAAAGTTATGCCCAAATTCGTACCAGTTGGGGCAAAAACCAGCAGCAACTGACGCGATGGTGGTCCGCATAAATTTCTGGAGGGCAATTTCAGGATTCTTTTAGGCTTTCTGAGGGGGTGGCCATCCCCCACTTTTTCGAGGAGGGTTGATCCCAGGGGAACTGCCCGGCTGAAGGGGGTGGAAACTGGCTGGCTAACATGCAAATGGCATCGATTTCGAGGGGGTTTGGCGGTTTAAAGGGCTTGGGAAGTATCGGGAAAGGAGCGAGAGAGTGAGAGAGAAAGCCAGAGTGAGAGAGTGAGCCAGATAGATAGACAGAAAAAGAGAGAGCGAGATAGAGAGAGAGAAAGAGAGAGAGAGAGAGAGAGAGAGAGAGAGAGAGAGAGAGAGAGAAAAGCAAAAGAGAGAAGAGCGCGAGAGCGCCTGAGATAACAAGAAAGAATAAAGTTTCTCATCTAATTTTTTTGAGCTACGAACAACACTAAATAAAAAGTATGGAATATAGTATCCGAGATATTGAAGGCAAATTTCGGCTTCCAAAAACTACTTCAAAAACTTCAAAAATGATGGAACCAAAAATTTAAAATATAACAGTTTCATGGCCTAAAGCTTCAAAAGACCAACCTGATGAGCTCCCCTCAAATCTGCTGCTGCTGGTTGTGAGGCTTTTGTACAGCCATCTGGATGGCACGAATCGCCGCCGGGTAGGTCACCTGAAAAATTGACATAAATCGGATAAAGGCCTTAGTTTACAAAACACTATGGGCAATTCTTGGAAAACCAACAACAAAAAAAACGCTTTGCAAAGTGCCTATCCGAAAAACCCCAGAAAAACCCCAAGCGCCGGGGGTTTACTATGCAAAGTGGGGTACTCGAAGGCGGATTTGGTTGAAAACGGATTCTGAAGCGCTCTTTTCGCGCTACGAATGGCTACTAGTTACGTGGAGAAAAATGGAACGACCTTGAAAAGCGGCGGAAAACTATTTGAATAGCCTTTCAATGAAGCGGGCTTTAGCGAGCTTAATCGGTGCGTCTTGATATGCTACGTTCCGCTCCTTGGCACACACAATTTAGCTTAGCCAAACGAGAGATGTAGAGATCGAGAGAGAGAGAGAGAGAGAGAGAGAGAGATAGAGAGAGAGAAGGAGAGAGAAAGAAATAGTCAAACGAACCCGAGAAAAACGTCGAACTCGACGCCGACAGCCCTCCATTGGTTCCGGGAAATTTTGACCACTTGTCGGTGTTGACGGCGGCCAAGATGGTGCTCTAGAAGCGTAGATCGTAAAATAGATTAAATTTGACGGCATCGATGACATGATTGTCTTTCTATGGGCCCTGTATAAAACTGGCTACTGACCTTCAATTTCCGCCTCGCGTTGTACCGCTTGATATGGTCGACAGTTTCCTGGAGATGGCGTCGAGGTGCGTAGGCTTCCTAAGCAAAATATAAAATAACTTAGTATTGTTGTTTCAAAAACCATGCCAGAACCCTTCCAAAAATAAATGGGAGATCGAAATACAACAACGGTAGGTAAAAAAATAATAAGCTTACCTTGTCCCGTAACCAATCGTGTTGCAAAGCTTCGGTGGCCGAAAATCGCTGCTCTTCGTCACGGTTCAACAATCTTATTAACAGATCCTTCGCCGAATTGGAGATGAAGTTCCAGATTCCGCCGCTGACCTAGAAACAGAGATTAACTCATTTATGACGTTTTCAAGCACCGGTAGATACGCTTTTAATACAGCAAGTACCCACCGAATACCTCCCATTTTGTATAGCCTCATAGATTTGTTCATTGTTGCCGCTGAAGGGTAGACGACCAGAAAGGAGGAGGTAGAGAAGAACACCAGCACTCCAAGTATCCGCCTTTGTACCGTATTCACGTTTTTCGACGACTTCGGGGGCCATAAAGTGGGGAACACCGACGAGGCCTGAAACTAACGTTATAATCCTGACTTTTTTTTTAAAGGGGGTATTGAATTTCGTGATTTCACGACTAGATTTGCCGATTTAATGTAAAAAATACTTCCAAATGAAGTATTTTTATAAATAAAGAGCTTTCGTGAAGAAAAGTTAAACCTTTCTGATCTTATAAAAATTTTGGCTGACTGCAGGTTGTATAAATACTCTAAATATATAATGCCCAATTCATGTTCACCTCCATCGACTTTTGCATCTGTATCTTGTAACTTGATGGCGACGCCGAAGCCGGTCAATTTGACGGGGGCGCTGTTGTCTTTGCTGAAAAGATCGATTCTGAGAACGCGCGCACTGATAGGCGTCAATTTCCGAATTGAGGTTTTCATACCAGACAAATTCTGATCTTACTCTTACCTTGCCAACACCAAATTGTGCGGTCGCACATCTCGATGGACAATTGAGTTAGAGTGTAGGTATTCAAGGGCTTGGAGGAGTTGTTTGAGGTAGTGGCTAAATGAATAATAGAAAACTGCCATTTCCTTACCTGGCCACAGCTTCAGAATATACAAATCCATTACACGCCCGCTTCACAATTTCAAAGCAAATGTCTGCCCCATCCAAGTGCTCAAAGACGAGGTGGGAGAGGTGGTCGCCTGGAATTTTCGAGTAATTTTAACCACAAATGTATTTGAAGGCCCATATTATTAAAAACTTGATTAGCGGTACTTATAAAAACGTAAAAACCGACAACCCACCGGATATCACGTCCTTAAGCTCACAGATGAACGGGTGCTTGAGGGTGGCGCAGAGTTCCATCTCCTCCTCGATGGCTGAAACGTATTTAGAATTTGTTATTTTTATACAAAAAAATTGACATACCCGCCCTCGACAGTCCCGTGCTCTGCTCATATTTCTGGAGGTCGATGGTCTTGATGGCGAACGGCTTTCCGGAAGTGCGATGGGTGGCATGGTTGATGACGGAGAGGGGGCCACTAAAAGTACATCTGCAATTTAAATTTCTATATTATCTCTCACTCTATCTCTCTGTCGCTCTCTCTCTCTCTCTCTCTCTCTCTCTCTCTCTCTCCGTCCCTCTCTCTCTGTCTATCTCTCACTCCATTTCTCTCCATCTCGCTCTAACTCTCTCCCCTTTCTGTCTCTCTTCTCCATCTGTCTCTCTTCGCTCTCTCGCTCTTTCACTCTCTCTTTCTATCTCTCCCTCTCTCTCTCTCTCTCTCTCTCTCTCTCTCTCTCTTACCGTTCAATAGTGTGTCCGAGATGATACTGCTGTGCAAGGAGTGCAGTCTCCTGTGGTCTTCCGGAGGACTGCTGGCTCATCCCCCACTACCCAATTCATCAGATCCACCTAGCCGCTACAACGCTCGATACTATCGGGTAGGCCGGACGCGACGATCAGCACTGGAAAAATAGCCATAATCCTAACCTCTAAAATGGAAAACGTACATAGAAAAAGAAGATAAAACCGGATATTAAGAATACAGATAACGTGAAAATAAAGAATGATGATTTGTAGGGGATCATCAGAGCGTAAAAATGCATAAAAACTAGTGTACTATCGCGTACTAAACGCTCTAGTGAACCGTTGCAAGAGCAATTATTCAGTCGGGTAGCGGAGTCATGCCACGTCGGGCCGGGCGCCAGAGCAACTGACCCACACGTGCACGATCTTGTACCAAAAAAAAGATATTGGCATTTTTAACGAATTCAGCGATTTACGTCGTTTAAAATGTTGGGCGTAGGACATAGGTTTGGAAAAGGTTCTCTGGTCACCAAAACGTGTCGGGTTTGACGTCGGAACGTTGGCGAGGATCGGTTTATGCAAATTAAGACCCAGGAATCGGGTGTATTTGAAAGAGGAAAAATAGAACAGATACGTACGCAGGAGCACAAAATACGTTTAACCGAAAAATCGAACATCAGGCTAAAGACCCCAATCTAAAAATCGTATTATGGATTATTCGCGTCAGAAATGCCAGATGCCAGCTATGCTTTCTAGGGCGGTGGGGTGCCAAATTCTCCAAATCCACAAAAACGAAAGCTTCAAAGTCCCCTTAAAAACTCAGACGTAGTCGCAGACCTGCACTCCGCAGGGGCTAAAAGCCCAAAATGTGGACCCTTGCAGCCGGTCATTAGCCCTTATTTTATGGGTGGATCGGGCGGCCTTGATGTGTTTGTCTGTAGGTATGTCGTGATGTTGCTCTCTCTGTCTCTCTCTCTCCCTCTCTGGCTTTCTCTCTCTCTCCCTTTCTCTCATTCTCAATCTCTCCTTTATCGGTTTGTATGCTTCTCTGTCCGTCCCTTTCTGTACCCCAAGCAAACGAACATGACCATAAGACAAATGAGCAAGCCGGGGTCGAGTCAAGCATGGGACAGTTGCTGCCAGCCTAGCATCACAATCATCCCCATCCGCCGTTTGATTGGACTATGTACACTAACGGAACACCGCGGAAAAAGCTTGGGTGGTCGGGATGGGGAAACATTGAATAAACGAATGCAGACATCCAGAATTTTGCTCACAATTGAAAAATTAAAGCTGAAAATTTTTCTAAAAAATTTTCTTATGAAGGTTGCTCTTGAATGTCTTAAAAAGTAGATCGGCCTAGTGTTTAGTGATACAGAAAACTGAATAAACCCCGGGTAGAATACGGACTCAGGCTGGAAATCGATGAGAAAGCTCGAATTAATATTGTTAAAAAGGCATTAAATTCGTCTTGCAATAAAAAGCCAGACTATTTTATGCTAATTTTGATGTATTGAACTGAAACTAGTGTCTTAAAATTCAAAAATTAGTCTATGATTCCGAAAAAATTTAAATCTTGTAAAATTTCGTTAAGTTTGAGATTTTAAAACAAATTATATTTTTAAAAACACACAAATTGCACAAAATTCAATAAAAACAAAGTATTTATTGTTGAATCATACCCCATTTATTTAGAAAGACGCTTGTAGGTAGTTAGAAATTCTGTGAAAAACTAGCGTCTGCTTTTAAAAAATTTAACACGCTGAAAAATCATTAAAGTTTGGCATCTTCATTAAGATCTATTAAATCTTAAAAACGGCTTCAGAACACGCTATTTTCTCAACCCTAAAACTTGAACCTTTCACCCCTCCCTCCCCTTGCCCACTACATACGCATATGGAAATGCGGCGCGCGTGAATTTTCCATAACCTGCTAAAATGTGGCAACAAAGGGGTGAGAGGGGAATCCCGCAAAAAAGAGAAAAGCCCAAGAAACCCCGGTCTTCAAGCCACCGGCAAAAACGTCCAAATTTGATCATCGGGCCCCAAGAAGCGGGTGAATCGCCTTGGCGCGCGAATTTTGGCCTTAAGCGCCTGGGGCCAAAAAATGCGTAGGCCCCACCCGAAAAAATCGGGGTTTTGGCGGGTCGAGGGCCAGGGAAGGGCCTCGTCGGCCCTAAAATGCGCCCTTTTCTGTGAGAGAGGCCCGGGACGCCCAAATTGCAAATCTCATATTCGGGAAGGGGGAGCACATCGGAGGAGCATAGACATAGATGGCATCCAGAGGAGGAGGAGGACACATAAGGACGGATATATGGGGGAGAAGGAGCAAAAAATTGGAGGAGGGCTGGCGGAGGTTTTTGAGGAATTTTTGGGAAACGTACGTCGTCTGGTGTATGATGGAGTCGGTGATTTCGAACAGTCGAAGGTTGGAAGACAAAACTTTAAAATTCTTGCCGAGGCACAGACTTCAGGGTCAATTTACAGCCTACCGCTTGCCGGTCTCAGGCTACAGGCTGCAAGCCATACAGTCAGACGAATAACATCCATGAAAAAGCTGAAGGCGACAAACTACAGAGTACAAAGAGCGTAGCGTTTCTGATAGGAAAAAATACGGCAGACATTGAAAAAGAAACCGTTTCTAGCAAACTCATCCCAAAATCGAAAAAGACACAATCCAAAAAAATGTAGTGAATTTTGTAAATGGTTCGCATTAACGAGAGAATCGCTTCCACAACGATGCCCGCTAGCCTACTGCCTAAGCAATTCTGGCACGCTAGCAGAGATGCTTAGGGAATTGTTGCAAACAAAAAAAAAGATAAAAAAATAGCCGATGCATTTTGCAAAAAATTTCGGATAAAATTTTCTTTAGGTGCTGTAATCCGAGATTATGCTGTTGCGCAAATAGGCAACTTAGGAAATGCAAAAATCTTGGAAAGCATCGTATCAGCATTCCACGTTTTTGACAACAAAATGGTACGGTAATCGGCGTTAATGTTAATGTTAATGGTGCCTAATGCTAGCTTGCGTGATTTACGCTGTATCCATGGAGGATGGCACAACTTATTTTGAATCGAAAGTATCTGATTAAAGAGAATGAAGGCACTAATCGATTCAATAAGTGCATCACATGCAGGAAAATAACCGATTCCTATCCAAACACCTCACAACAAAAGGCTCCTGACACCCTCTCCTGCTGCCCCAGCGACTTCAGAATATTTGCCGGCACATTTCGAGTGGTGTCGCGTAGTTTTTGCCGGCCAGCCAGCTGGGGCAGCCTGGAGGTGGCCAATCTCATGGATGCCGGGACGGGGACGTGGTGGAGGGGGAAGACCGCCACAAAAGGACCCAACGAGAATACATTATTCCGAAAGTGGCCCCGAATGGCCAACCACAGGCCGCATGGCTATGAAGAGGAGAGAGAGAGAGAGAGAGAGAGAGAGAGAGAGAGAGAGAGAACGGGAACATCGATATATGATGAGGGGAAACCGGCGAGATTTTGCAGAGTCAGCTGCAAATTATGAAAATTGTGGTTTTAAAGGGGCAGGGAAGGCAAAATCGATATCTTAGATTTATCTAGGGTAGGAATAGCACCAAAATTAAGCCCAAAAACGGCTTGCGCGGATATTTCAATAAAGATATGCGGATGATTTGAGCTTGTGGACTAGGACGGCAAAATTAGTCATTTTCCAAATTGAGATGGCAAGCGTTAATAACGTAAATATCAGCAATATAAGCTTCAAGGTCAGACAACGAGAGATTTGTAAATTTTCATGCCATAATCGATTGTTCCGACTGCTTTTCAGCACTTGAAAAAAATCGTCTGATCCAAAAATTCAAAACAAAAAATTTTTGGCGCCCGATTCTGCACTTCGAAAACTTCTGAAGTCCAGAAATTGTTTCTACGTCCTGGAGAATGGTTTAGAATTAAAAAAATTCCGCGAATTTAATATGTGCGGTTTTTGCGCAAAAACCATAAAATAAATAGTACGGCATAGTGCTGCGTAAGCGTTAATCGCACATGAGCTAAAATTCAATGTACTGTGCGCGAAAGGAATTTTAACGTATTTAAACAATTTTGCAAAAATATATAAAAGCAAAAGAAAAGTGCAGATGTTCCGATCCACAGTACGCCCAAGTCGAGACAACGACCAAAAGGAAAAACACACCTTAAATGAACTTTCCTAAGTGAAGACTAGGTCAATGAGGTAGAGGAGGAAGAGTAGCCAAGGCAAATTGGCAGCAGACGAAGCTAATTTGAGAGATCCGCACCCCTTTAGCCAGGGCCCCAAGGCGTAAATCCAGAAGCCCGGAGGGGGGGGGGGGTGCGCGATGTGGGCCACAGGGGGGTGGATGGCATCTCCTGGCCCCTGGCCCAGGGAAAAGGACGGGGGATCGGCTTTCACATATCCACCACCAGCTCCTCGGCTACTCTGTCTCAGTTTCTTTATCTCAACGTCTGTATATTTCTCTAGCGACTCACGATCTACCTTGTCTCTGGGCCCGTTTTAGGATATTGCCTTCTAGCCAATCGTTGTCGAAAGGGGTTACAGGTGATGGTAAAAAAATCGCTCCTTGAGTTAGAAAAATGCATAAAATTGTAAATTAATATTTAACCGAAAGAAAAACATTGAGAAAACGAGAGAAAGAGAAAGCGAGAGAGGCAGAGAGCGAGATAAAAAGGGAGAGTGAGAGCGAGAGAGAGCGAGGTAGAGAGAGAGAGAGCGAGAAAGAGAGTGAAAGTACGTTTTTTTTTGAGGGAAAACTCACTGAAAGACTTGATAAAATCGATAAGCTGAACGCCTGAAACCGAACAGTAAAGCTGCTTTTGGGCATTGTGATGCTGTGGCGGAGAAGGGCCGATTGGGCCGGCCCGCCGTCCCAAATATTGACAAATTTTATCAATACCCCAGGCACGGGCATGGAGCGGCGAGGAGCCCGATTCCCGTACAAGGCATGGGAAGAAAGGAATTATCGGCAATAGAGGGTGAGAAGCCGAATTTTGTACTAAACCTGGGACTCCTTGTGTTGCAAAATAGCACGAAATAAATGGGAAATCGAAAGTACGCGAACTAGTATGTAGAAAGGAGGAGAAAAAAGCCCAACGCCAAAAATTTGTAAAAACACTTTGCAAAAGGGGCTTGCACTCCCGATTCGTTTATTGCTGATGTTGCT